GGAAGAAAAAACAGAATCATTGGCTCTATCAACACGCGGCAAAGTGCGGAGTGTCCTAATCCTACTCAAGTATGCCTGCACTCGTAGGACATCACCCCCGGTAGGTAGGGACCGCATACAGGAACCTTCCAGATTCCACCGAAACCTGTCTGCCCCGGGCAGAGTTACCAAGCCCCCGTCCAGGGCCTACCAGGGGGGCTATACTTCATGGAGCTTGAAGTCCCAGGGCCTGCCGGCCATGCATCGCCCTCTTCACTGCTGCGCGGCCCGGGGGCATTGGAAATGTTCTGTATACAGTACTATACACTAAAACAAATTCGGAATCCCTGTTTTTTATTGCTGCAATGCGCACTTGCACGCCAGGCCGTTGTTTTTTTTCAAAAAGAAAACTTTAATATTCCAGGCCCGGTGCCCCGCCAGGCAAGAACATATCAAATGTAACCAAAACGCAGCGCCCACTAAAATAAAAAACTCACCAATAAAGCTACCAGTGCCTGGCACAGTAATATTGGCTTTAAGTAAAAAACAGGAAAATATGAAAGAGAAGATAGGCATTGTACTGACTAAACCTCCATAGCATTTAACAAGTTGGGTTTTATGTCGATCATATAAAGCACCTATATTGCTGCAATGCACTTGGCAATGCCCCCCCTTGTTTTTCTAAAAAAGAAAACTTTATTATTCCAGGCCCAGCGCCCAGGGCAAGAACATCTGAAAAAACATGTAACCAAAATTTAATGCAGAAAAGGTCACAAGGCCTCCACTCTCCACTCCAGGGCCTAGGTCCCACTAGCAAAAAGAATAGGATAGAGCTCCTGAATCTGGATGTGTTTTAAGCACAGATGCGGAAAAGCAGTTCAATCTCGATTTCCTGCACATCTCCATAAACTCGTCCAGATTCAGGCATTCGATCCGATTCCTCTTTGCTAGTGGGACCACGCCCCAGCGGCTGGATCCACCTGCACATTAAATTTTTCGTCATAGGAGGCTACCACGAAGAGAATGGCGGGCGCCTACGGACCCATGGATTGACAAATCAATGGTTCCAAGACGGCCGCCAGTCGCTTCATGGTAGCGTCCTACAACGAAAATGCGCAGGTGGGACCCGGCCCTAGTGGAGCCTCACCCCTGTCCTAGGCCATAAATAATTGTGCGCATACTCTATTAAACCAAACCACTACCCACCAGTACTTTGCCCATACATCCGCGGCGGCGAAAAATAGAGAGCCACGACATTTCCACTTGAATGAATTTGGACTGGAGCCGTTTCCACTTGAATGACTTTGGAGTCTGGACTGAAGCTGCCAGGCCCACTCGGCCCAGGGCCTGGCCCAGCGCCTCGTGGGTCATTTACGGCCGCGGCTTTCGGAAGTACTGGTGGCTGGTGGTGTGATTTGATCCTGACCGTCCATGACGCCTGCTGACCGTGGGATTATTTCCTTACTCCTTGTTTCACTATACAACAACAACAAAAAGGCACTATACTGTACGTATAGCTCTGATGAGTTTTTGTTCCATTTTTTTTTTATTTTTTTTTTCTATTTTCAGCGCAAGATCGAAACTAAACCTCCATTAAATATGGTGGTTAACAAAAAAAAAAAAAAAAAAAAAAAAAAAAAAAAAAGGTGGGTGAGAGTGCGGGAAAAGATGGCAGTACACGACAAACAAGCAGTAGAACATTACTATCATCTCCTCCTGCCAATGGATATCAACCAGACCATGAGTTGGTGGCGATACCAACCAGATCATGAGTTGGCGGTGATGAGACCGTACTAGGCAAATACCGTAACGACAGAAAGCTGCAAATAGAATATACACGATAACCTCCTCCTCCCCTGAGATTTTCTTTTCTTTCTTTTCTCTTCTGAGCTTCGTGTGGTGGAAACGGGACCTCCACCGCTAGTAGGATAAGATGAGATAGCGCAGGCAAAGAAGAGAACAGAAAAGCTGCAAATAATACCATTACATAACGCCCTCCTGCTCAACTACTTGGCCATGATGATTGCCACACCACTCCCAATGGAAAATTTCTCACTGCTGACTTGTCGACCGCGCGCGCGCGCGCGCGTGTGTGTGTGTGTGTGTGTGTGTGTGTGTGTGTGTGTGTGTGTGTGTGTGTGTGTGTACGTGTGTGTGTGTTTTGGATTTTCACACCACAACATCCCCTATTCCCCCCAGATTAGTATTTTATCCAAATTCGCAGCTGCTTTAGTCCTATTGCAGACAACGAAAACACTTCTTGAGTTGAGACAAACCAACACTCAAACAGTTAGCAAGCAACGTGTGTGTGTGTGTGTGTGTGTGTGTGTGTGTGTGTGTGTGTGTGTGTGTGTG